CCCCAAAACCCCAAAACCCCTTGCTTCTGGCATTTGTAAAATTTACAAAAATTAAAACTCGCATTAATTACTTTAAAAGTTAAATTTACTCTAAAAATGTTACTCTCCGAAACAATAGATATGGACACAGCTGAGGAAAGATGGCGTCGATTAATTGCAATTTGGCTTCGAATAAATGGAAAGCAATATGCAGAAACATTCAATCTCTCCATAAATCTATCTTTAAATCTTGCAATATTCCTTGTGAAGTACTTGAAAATTAAAGGAGATGAAGCTGAAAAATTGGCTTTCTATGAGATATACGCACTTTTTAAAGAAAAGCATAAAGGAATAATCAAAGATACTCAATTCATAAGTGAGGGAGATATCTTGGACCTGGTCAAGCTCAAAGATTAAAAGAAGTATGATATATAGTAAGCAGAAATACCACCTCAGACATATGTGTGAAATGATGGAGGAGGTTTTCGTGTTTAATTCTTGAACAGATATATTAGAGAGACACTTGAGCGAAAGAAGTAGATTGGAGGTGAACTAATAAAGGATGATAGTTGTTATTTGAGGTGAAACACCTCACATTCAATCAGCAATTTTGGAGATTATCTAAGTTGTGGAGGAACTGATTTATCGAATGGAACTTTTTCCTACAGTTAAATTGAAAAGACTGAATTAACTAGTGGAACAACCTTCAACTTCTTTAAGAAGAAGAGGGACTCGAAATTTTTAGAGCACTCCTGGCAAATTAGTAGTATGACTGAAAACTACCAGAATCAATAAATCATAGATAGCTAAGAAAATGGAGGCTTGATGAACTGCAGAAATGACATTAAGAAACTTATAGATATGTTCTAAGAGTTTAAGTCTCTAGATCTCTTATTCAAGTTCATAAAGAAGATATAAGATAAATCACAAATCGAGTTAAGGGTCGCAGAGTTTAGAGGATTTAAAGGCAATTCTAATACTATCGAAGTATTCTGCCCACACAGGCCTAATTGCAAATTTCAAATTGTCTACAGATATTTCTTAGAGTTTAGAAATGATAATAAGGTGCATGAAAAAATTGTTTTTGATCGAGTAGGATAGCTTGTTCACTATCATTAAGAAAGACTTGAGATGTATAAACTTGGAAAGATGTTTCTCAAAATGCCGAAAGGAGAAAGAGTACCGTGATAATAAATTAATATTTGGATATTTAATTTCATTAAAATCGATCTTTAGAGAGTCACGGGGTTTTGGGGTTTTGGGG